GAATATGTGTGGAGACACATACTGCACTGAAGAAGAAAAGGACTGAAAATAAAAACAGCAGTAAATTGCAAAGCAAATACTAAGTTGGAGCCCAACTAAAATTTGCCCTGCTGGACTATGAGTCAATATATCTTGGTGCCTGGTAGTACACAGTTTGAGTTGTGTCTCCTTTTATTTATGGATTATTACTATGTACATAAGCATATTTTGCCAACACTGTGGGTCAGCCTCCTCCCCACTTTTTCCTGTCACCTGTCTTAGCACAACAGAAGCATTTCCTACCCCATATGACAGGCTGCAGTTCTGTCTCACATGTCAGAAACAAAGACACTTGAACCATACAACAGAAAATTCATATCAACAAACTGATAGCTTCCTACTGGGACAGCCTGAACTCCATCCACATGATACTTCCCATGAACTAGCATAGACCTTCAGATATACCTTGCCTGTACAGATTGGTAGCCTCAAGGGCATGAGTCAAATTTAGGCTGTCAGAATACAGTCAGGAGTGTTCTCCTCTACCTGGAGAATCAGCCAATACACTCTTTTTATTTCTTCAAGTGTCTTTTTGCTGTACTGTTTTGCAGATACTCCTCTCACTCCTGTCCTCCTGTGTCTCTGCCAAGAAAGCAGCCTGTTGCAGATTTAGTTGTGTCTCCAAGCTCTGATATACAACATCTGAGGATATGCTGTCTGCACACCCATGTGCTCCAAGTGCTTGTGCTAATCATGGTCTTGTCTGCCCCAGACAAGGTAAAACTCCAGCACACAGGCACCCATGACCATTTGGTCCCTTCACCCTTATTATTCAGAATGAATAGTCCTACATCAAAGTATTGTACTTAAACCTCACACTTACACCCACATGAACAAAACTGGAGTTTTGTTATTACATCTGTATTACTAAATAGGTTGGAGACAAGGAGCAAGGCTTAATGCTGGACCACTGATTTTCTGTAACACTAAACTGTCAGCAAGCTTTTTGGCATATGTCTGGCCAAGGCCAAGTAGAATCTCTACCACAATGCCTAGGCACCAGGAAAACACCTAGCTACCCAGCATGCACCAAGAACTGCTTCCAGTAAGAAGTTAGAGTCTCTTCCTCCTGTGCAGTCTTCCAACACTATCCCAACAGGCTCCACAGCCTCAAAGCCCTCCTCTTTGTCCTTCTGCCATGTCCCAAGGTATGTAACACATCTTTCAGTTTCAGACTATACAAACAACAGTTTTAGAGGCCACAACAGATTTTTCATGTTATATCAGATATTTTGAAATAAAAAAGACACAACAATTACAACAAAGTATTACAGCCACTGTGCAGTACATATGACCTTGAGGAGACATACAGCACAAGTGTCATGTAGGGTAGATGTGACAAGTGTGGCCTCTTGGTCTCAGGGCCAGAAAACTGTCCTCAGCTCTCTTCTGTTTTGTCGTATAGACAAGGCCTACAATCAGGGCTGGTGAGGAGGAATCAGATGCATTTTTATTCTGTGTGCCTTCGAGTGAGGCAGGGCCTCCCATAACCCTGATACAGCAGATTAAATTACTCCAGTGGAAAGCAGCTGATGCAAGTTCATGTGGACTGTCATGGCTCAAAAATGAACATGCAGTTTCTTCAGCGGGGGTGTGTTTCTTCTACCTAGACAGACCACATTTCCTGAATACCAATGAAAGAGCAGAGACCACAGAAGTCAGGAGGGAGGGTAGCATGGGAAGAGCAGGCTATTTGTCCTCCCTCTCACAGAGCCAGTTAGGCCTCTGCAAGCAGCTGTGCCAGTTTCTAACCACCATCAATATGTCAATTCTGCTTCTCAAAATCACAAGCCTACTTTGGGTTCATGTACACACCTCCCAGGCATGTAACTGTGGGCAGTTCTCCATTGATATTGACAGCTGGTGCACTCAAAAACAACATGCAGGGACTCGCCAACACATTTCCCTTCCCACCAGCCCCCTGCGGCAGTGTCATATTGGACATCACTGTAATAAAAATGTTAAAAGAAACCTTGTTGAATAGAGATGATAAAGGATTGACTTTATGTTTAGACAGTGCCTAGGGCTGCAGTGGGACGGGTTTTGGGGGTTGGTGTGCAGAAAGAGTGGTTGAAACTGCATCTCGTCTTCCTCTTGTTGGCAGAACTGTGTGAGGCTACTGGCTTGGTGACCTTGCTTTTCCTTGTCTGGTTGGGAGATCCCCCTCAAGTTTGGAGCATTTGTACATGGAATATGAAGAGGATGATGATATTTTTTTTGCAAAATGGATGAGCAGCTTCTGGGGCCACAACTTGATCGATGAGAATGAGAAAGAGAGTAGAGGCTACAAGAAACATCAGACACGACTCTTCAGTGAAAGGAGAGCCTCCCTTCCGGTAAGGGCTGAGTGCAGTTTTCTCTCTGTGTGTGATTTATGTATAAGTTTAAGTGCCATCCCCAGGGGCATGGTCCTAGAGATGTATGAGGATGAGTGTGTACACCTTGCTGAGTAAGCTCAGTTCCTACTGGCAGCATCTAATTTCCTTTTGAAATTAGCTGCCTGCAAGGGTCAAGTTTATAGTGCCTTTGGAATACAAGAAAACTGGCAAACTCCAAGATGAGTAATGATGGGACCAGAAATTTAAGAAGAAGGGTGTAATAACTGCCTAACTATGTATTACAACGTTGTTCTGTCTGCTAAGTGTGACTGGCAGAGATCAAAACCCTTCAGAAACTGGCACACATAAATGTTGTTTTCAATGAGTGTGTTCTCATGTGTAAAACTACATTATCTCATGTGTATTCATGGAATATGGACCTAATTCTGCAACTATACCCTCTTCAGAAAGTTGTACACTTTACTCCCTGAATGTAGCTGTTTGCAGCTACAATTTCAGCTAGAGGATGAGGTCCCTCCTTGTTTAATGCATGTGACTCTGAAAGCAAGGATGCAACACATTACAAGGCTTACATTGTGAAGTAAAATTTTAAGGGAGAAGCAGATTCTTTATTCTTAAAACAACAAAATAGTTGTGAATGGGACAGGGTTCACACACAGAGGCAGTTTTTTTAAGGCAGCTCATAACTATCTAACTGATTATCAAAATGAAGTTAAACTGAAAACAGCTGTTCCCAGTCTGCTCTTCACTTAAGACTGTTGCTTTTATTTCATCCCTAAAAAAGTGTTCAGTTGGTCCAAACCTGTCTCTTTTTTCCAAATATATCAGTTGGCTTACCAAAGATACTATGTTTCCTTACAAATCATTTTTCTCTTTCATCTTTAGATCATTATGGCTGCAACAAAGCAAATGCTATTCAAGAAACAGCTGTACATTGAGAAGGAGTATCTCCTTGTAGACAGCAATAACTTGCTATTGCACCTGGATGTTTTTTACAGTTGCTATAAATTATAACTACAGTAAGATTCATTATCACAAATGATAACTACTGTAAGATTCAAAACATTTAGTGTTACTTAAATATTGTCTTCATTTTATCAGAACAGTGCTATTAATCAGGAGGATTAATAACTGACATCAGGCTCCATCTCTTCTATAAGTTAGTACCTCCAAAGCAGATCACAATGTAACCTTTCTTCTTTGTCAACATTGTAAATGGAGCTAACACCGCTGTACTGGTGAAAATCGAGTCAGCAGGTTCTGTTGGCAGCAGGCTGTTGGCAAAAGTTCCTTGTGCAGATACAATGGTACTGCCAAAACAGCACAGCCAGCACACTTTATCTCATATCCAGGGCTGCTATATGGTGCATCAGCAATAGCACTGTCCTGCCCACATGAACTGCACCTGCACCAGGAGCCTTTTGGTATCACACAGCAAAATGCTAGCAATATAGCAGAAAAGGTGGATTTGCATAGCACTGGAAATTGCTTTCAGCTCCAAACCAGTATGTTGGACTTTGTAGTTTTTCATGTGCTGTATAAAGGCATTCAAGCCACTGCTCTTGCTTCAAACACAATGATAAACTCCTGTGGCATGCTATTGTGCTAGAGCCTCCCAAAATATGGATAAAGCTTTGTAGAACAACTCCCAAACTAACAACAGTTTTCATTATTTTGTCCTCAATATCTAAGGATACCTCACTAACATTACTGAGGTGAACATAAAATGCTTTTGCTATTAACATTCCCATTTTGCAGAGGGGAACAAAAAATTATATTCATCCTTCATGGGCTAACTGGCAAGACAGGCTAAAACTTGCAACTCCAGTCCCCTGAAAAGCATTAGAGTTGTTTTTTGCTGTGGGCCAACACTGAATGTGAAAACTGCCTGGGGAGAAACAAGTCATCTGTTTTCATCTCCTTTAGGTAGCTTGTTCCTCTGACAAACTTCAGACACATTAACAGTGATACCATTTTTGAAGCCTCCAGCTACAACTTTGCTTGACACACTCTAGTTACCCTCCATCATTTTGATTCAGGACAGTTTCTTGCCTCCCATTCTGTTGTGGGGAAGAGATAGGAGGCAAAGGAGTTTTATGACCCTATAAATGTATCCATCTTCAAGTAGACATTTCTGTTCACAGGAGGAAATCTGGTAAGAAACAGCTGAGAGTGAGAGCTGAACAACTGACCACTGTTGAAGTTATTAACATTTAATTTAAACTAAAGTCAGACTGAACATCTACCACAATATTGTTAGCACAGGTCAGTTGGAGCCTAGACCGAAATATTTTTAAGGGATATATGCTTGGCTATAAGCTTCTCAGAAGGAAAGAAAGCCATGGGACAGCATCTGAATGTCAGATGTTCCGAAGTAGCCCTAAAGTACTGGGGTCATGGTGTAAACTTCAGCAAACAATGAACACTAACACACTGAAGTTAATTTTCTTACTGACAGCTGTTCAAGCCCTCAGATCAAGCCCAAAAGATGGAAGCAATTCTCTTGTTTCCAGCAGAAACAGAGAAAGAGTATAGGCAAATTATATTAATATCAATATTGTGAAGTATTTTTGTTTATGTAGTTTTTGTGTGTTTTAGATGAGCAATTAGCAAAAGATTAGCTGTTGTGTAAATACTGAGCATGGCTGGCCTTTACACAAAAGCTCAAGCAGAAAAAAGGAGAACTAAAGAGTGTGCAAAACAACCCCTAAGAGCAGTGCTTGGTGCTTCTGGCTTTCCCAGCATCGACAAAATTCCCCATTGTGATAGAAGGGAGCTTTTATTATTCTTCCTTCCTATGCCTTTTCCCTTGTTTCACATCCTCCCTACTTCTCCAGTTTAAGAACTACTCAAGGTCAGATCCTAGGGGCCAATGAACAAGGGGAGTTTGCTGAAGAGACACCAGATGTAGGCACAAGGCAGCTGCTGGGACAGGAGCAGGTATTGGCGCTGTGCTCAGAGACCTTCTGCACGGAATGACAGCAGTGGTGGGTGCCCTGTAGTGTGCAGATACTGAGACAATCTCTGTTGCCAACAGCTGCTGAAACTTCAGGAGGGGAAGCAAAAATTAAAGCGGTTTTCAGCCATTTTATTCACAATGTTACCAAGTAGTCAATTTGGCACAAAATGCCTGTATTAAATTTAAAAGACAGGAAGAAAGCCACGTGGATTTTATCTAAAGTCAGTGCCAGATCTCCTTCACTGCTGAGCTTCATTTTTTGACTCTCTCAGTTCTCCATAGAGTCAGTCTTAAATGAAAGAAGACTAATGTACTCTACTAGTTATAAGCCACAAAATGTCCATGCTTGAGCAGTTGTGTTAAGGCTCCTGTTCTCTGTAGGGTTGAGTTTATAGGACAGCAAGATGCTAATGTGTGTGAGCATGCTGTCCTTCTAGCTGTGGTGGCATGTATCATGCAAAGGCACTGTGAGAGAAGGCACAGTCACATATGTATGTGTAGCTTTATCCTTAGTCCACTGAGGCATTTCAGAGGAAAGCCTGTACCTTTTCCGGACTGTTGCTGCTATGTCAGTATGTGAACTGCAGTCTTTTTTTAAGGACTTAAGTATAATTCTGTTGGTGAAGGGAAATTAAAGAGAAATGTCTTAGTAAAATAAAACATCTACAAACATTGCAAAACACGCTTGATAGAAAGCCATCATCTGTTTGAGCTGTCCTGCTTTTTCCTGCCCAAATCCTCTGAGAACAAACACCAGTGATTTTACTGTGAGACAGTTTTTATTTCCAGGAAAAAATATATGTTGATGCCATTAAAATGACACGGAAGACATTTAATTTGTTGAGCTTGACATGGCATGTGTCTCTCAAGCACAGTGTGATTGCTTTGATACTTTTTAAAATAACAATACAATATGACCTTACAGAAATTACATCTGTATTGATTGGTTTCAAACCAAAGTTAAAATAGTATGGCAGAAATCGTTACTGCTACTCTCAGAGGCAGTCGATAATACTAGCTACTGAAATAAGATTGTATCTGGAAATGAAACTGTACCAGTACCATATGATCCGAAAACTCTTCTACATCAATGCTTCTGTTAAGTATAAGACTTATGTAAAAGAACCAAGAGTTTCTGTGAAAATGCAAAATATAGATTAAGAAATAGCAGAGTATATGGCCCCAGGAAAATGTATTCTCAGTTACTACCAAGAGCTGCATGGGGCAACTAGTAATGAGGGAGACAAATCTACGTATATGGATCTGCAACATTTTGCTGGAAGATGCGTAATGCTGTCAGGTGTAGATTTACTGGTGATACAGCACATCTCACCAGGCCTGTCTAATGCGATATAGTCGCAACCATATGGATGCACAGCCTTACTATTCCGGGAAAGGCTGCACAGGTCCCTGGTGTGCTGATACATTTATAATAGTGTCTGGGCCAGAGTAAATGCGAATTTATACAGGTGATGTTTCAGGTCCCTTGCAGTCCAAAGTCTATAGATTTATGTGGCTGCTATATGAAGTTGATTTAGCTTTCCACTGCTGTTTGTTAAAAAAAACAAAACAAAACAAAGTAAAACAAACAACAACAACAAACCCCAACCAACAAACCATACTCTGAGTGTAGGGTTTTCTCCTGGATTTTCTTAGAAAGCATTGCAGGATCTATGGGATAGACCTCCAGTTGTTATAAAAAGTCACAGCTCCCTTGAAGCCAGCAGAGCTTCTCAGGGTTACTCAGTAGTTGAATGCTTAGCACCAAGCTAATGCAAAATCTACACACATTCAAACATGGATGCAGCAGCTGGGTGCCTGGAGTTCCATAACCTGACACCTGGCAGGGGAGGGGGTGTCTCATTTTTTATATGTGCCATCTCTCACTACCAACTTTCACCACCTGCATCTTGCCAGTGTTCAGCCCCTCACTTGGAAAAAACATCCACAGCTGGCAGGATTGGGGCATGCCTGGCTTTATGTTGTGGCCTTCTCATTCATCTTTTCTCCAGGTCTGTCTACTTCTAAAACCACCAGTACCTGACTCCACAGGACACAGCTTTTTTGTATCAGTTTAATCTCCTTTACAGACATTCTGTTAAATAATCAACAGGTTTTATCTGCATGTCAGGCCTGGGAAAATTGAACTACGTGGAAGCTAAACAACTATCTACTCCCTCCCCACTTTAACCCTACAAATCTAGTTGTAGGGAGCCTGTTTCCTGGTAGGGGTGTGCCCCTGAATGCCTTGAAAGTGCTCCCTCATCAGATCAGGACGAACGTGCCCAAGAAACCAGCAGAAAATTCAGATCTGGACAATAGAGCATCTTGTCTGCATGTAGGCCATGCTGCAAATTTGACACAACTGGTCTAGAAATTATCCCTGTCACACTCAAATGAACTCAAACATCTGATAAGACCTGGACCACATGTGGGTCAAACCCCATATCTGGCTTATCTGGCCACAGAAGGCTGGGGTTTTGCTTTATGAAAGTCCTGCCTAGAACTTGCTACCAGATGTGAGGCCTGAGTTTTTGAGATCATAAAGGGTCCCAGTTTCTTTTACTGTCAGGGGGCACAAACAGGACCCAGCACACTTTACATTTGAAATCCTCATTTAGTGCCAAAGCTTAGATACTCAAAATCAGGAATAAAAGCAAATTCTGCTGCTGCCCCTGCAAAGCAAGCTCCTGGTAGTGTTACTCTCCTGCACATAAGAGGGAAGACAAGGGAGTCTGAGCAAGGTCTCTCATTCTTCACAGCTGTTCAGAGAGCACTCTGTGGCGGGGAGAATCTGCCGTGCGTGCTCTGCTTTAATATTTAATACTCAACAAAGACCTCTTGTTTTTCAGGCCAGGCTTTCCTCCCTCCACACAACACAACTTCATGCTTCTACCAAAGGCTCATCTTCAGGCCATCTCAAGGGCTCCAAGGAATTTCAAGAAGACCAAGATGTCAAATGCCACTGCCACAGGAAGGCAAGCAGAACACCTTCAGCAGACAGCTCATGCCCAGAGACAAGATCAAACTCCATCCAGGAATTTGCAGAGTCCTTTGAAAAGCAATTGCATCTCAAAAGCAAACGCTCAGTTTCTTTGGTAGGTAACCACCAACTTAAGATCACTTCAGAATAAAAAAAAAACCAACCAGCCAGCAGGCCAACTTTATACCTGGTATAATTGGCATGGCATTGCCAGGGGAAGAGCAGAAACAAACTTCAATTAGAATTTCTCAAATGAAGTTGTCCTTACAATAGTGCAAACAAGGTTAAAGTGATGGTATCTTTAGTATGAGAATTCCTGATGTAGTGTTATCATCTAGACTTACTAGAAAATGTGTGTCTTCAAAATGAGACCTTGCACAGGCTGTGGCAATGTTTTCAGAGGTTTCTGTGGCTGTGTTAACAAAACATGACAATATAAAACCAGGTTTACTTCACTTCTGCTGTAAGAGCCACCTCACTTTCTCACTGCTGCTGACCTGGTTTAACTATATATGGTGTTATCTGTAAGACTGCCAGACATTGTGGTGTTTGAGAGGCATCTCTTTTACCCATTGGGACTCCATCCTTCTGCTTTCTTCAGTGTTACCACACAGCTGCAGGAGCAGTGATTGCTATAATGGCTGAACATATTTTCACTATAAGGGCATACTGCCAGCAGGGTATTCTCCCCCCATTTCATCTTTTCTACCCATCATTCAGTTCTGAGGCATAAGCATGTTCTGTATTGTGTTGGTGAGGTAGCCAAAACCAACCTTTTGTCTCTGGCACTAACACATTTTTATTATTATGATACATACTATTGCATGTATCATACAATGGAACGAAGGTTAATAAACCCTGATTCACTTTTAAGTATCAGAAGAACACTATTAAATTCAATCACCTTATGAAAAAGCTGTGCTTGAATAACACTTGACTTTAGCAGCAAATAAAACCAGAATAAAGTATTGGGTTTTTTTATTTTTAAGTTTGTTAACACTGACAGTTTGTATGGAGAAGTAATTTTCAGCTTTCTTTGCAGACCTTCTGTGTAGCAACAAGAGAGGAAAAAAATCACTCTTCGATAAGCAGCATCATTACATGATCAGTCCCACAATTACAGTTGTTGCATGCCCAGTCCTCTAAGAATATGCAGGATTATGGTGGTGACACCTCTGATATACAATTGTTAAGATTTTAACTGCATTCTCTAACCTTCTTTTCCCCCTTTAGGAACTGCTCAGAATTTATTTCATTTGGAACTTCACATTGCCTCATTTGCCAACCCTGACCAGTGGTTGTCTGGTTTATCATTTATCAATTCTCAAAAGTGGCTACAGCTAGAAAGTCTGTGAGTGTGTAATAACTGTATGATAGGTATAGTGAGCATAATGCACTAAATACACCTTCAGTTCCAGTTAAAAATAGAGATTCTGGTACCCTTCTGTAATCCACAGTGAGGGGTGCTGAGCTGTATTTTAATCAACTTTTCAACTAGACCAGATTGTTGTCATTTGCTCCATTACCATTGAAGTCTGGGAGATGTGAAAGACTTGAGAATCTCGAAGAACTGAAAAATAGATGTTAGAGATCTGAAAGGAAATTTGAGAGTGAGCTTAAAATTGTAGCTCCAAATGGAGCAGGGTTTTTTTTTGCATTCAGAGCTCTGTGAGTACAATTCAAACCAAACTTTACATGACTACACAGGTTAAAAGAAAAGTGGGGGAAAGTTAATCCCATTTCATCTCCTTCCTTGCATATTGCTTTTGTCTTACAAAAGTGGTTTTGAGGACACTTCATGACCTTCAGCACTTGTTTTCAGTGAGGTCTTTGCAGCTAGCACTGAACGGCCTTCAGGCACATAAGGATGAATCAAATGAAAGGACAGAAACATGGAGTCTGGGCAGAAATATGAGGGTCCCTCCCTTTTTCCCTCCATTCTCCTCTCCTTCCTCAAGACCTCCAGGCAGGTAACCCTCCTACCATACATAGAGTGTAATCAAAAGCATGTTGCCTTTTGCTGAGTTTTAGAGTGACTGGCTTGGGCCTTGAATTTGAGCCCATCGTGTTAAAGCTGATCTGGCTGAGGTAGGTAACTGGAATATTTTATTATATATTACTAGTGAAATAGAATAATGAGATTTTGTTGTTCATGTGGGAGTAATTTTTAATTCCCTGCTATTTGTCTCCTGCCTTGTAGCAACCTGAAGGCATGAAAGAGAGAAGAGAAAGATTGCATTTGAGAAAGAACAAGTCTCACAAGAGAATGGGAGAGAAATTAGAGCCAAGGAGAGAGCAGAAAGAAGATGGAGGTTCAGAAGTTGCACCTGCAAAACACAACAAACAGTTTCCATCACATGCAAACATTGAGAAAGGATATTTATGCACAGGCAGCTAGAATGCATTGAAGTAATGCATTTTAACACTCCCTGAAAAGCAGAGGGAGCATTCTTTTTTTTGTGGTGACTAGAAGGCCTGTTAGCTAGAAGAAATCCTGACCTGTAAAATAAAAGTAAAATTCAACTGCATCATTGACAGCTTGTTACTACCGTTTTGTCTGTACTTTTTCCATTAGGAATGTGACCCTTATCATAGGAGGAGCGTATCTGGAGCAAGATCCAAACTAGCGATTAACCACCATAAGAGGGTTTCAGGCAGATTTAGCATTGCAGCAGGAGAGTGGTGGATGTGTTCGGGAGAGCATATATGTATTACAGAGCTATGCAAAGTCATCCAAAGCCTTATGTTTCTCTTTTAATTGAAACCAGGCTTATTTATAGGTTTGGGAAGGAAAAAGTACACACGAACTGCCACCTGCTTCCTGACCCTGACATTCATTGGCTTGGAAACCGGTATCTTTTTTCTTTTACGTTCTATCAACACCAAACCTACAGAAGTAATAGAAGAGAAGTCTCCGAGTTCTCTCCTATACCTTTGTGATGTTTCACTTCTCTCTGTTTTCCCTCACTGTCACTGGCAATGGCTCTTGTTTCTCTGGCATCATCCCCCAGTCCTCTCACATGTCCCCAGTCCTGTTTCCCCAGTCACACAGCTAGTTCTTCCTCTGAACTTTAACCTCAGAATATTGTCTCTTTTGTGGCCTTCCACATCTCCATTTACTACTTTATAGCTCTGACTCATAGCTACCAGCGTCTTTAGCTACATCTCTAGTTCTGCCCCATCAAACTTTGAGCATTGCTGAAAGTTCTCCGGTAAAAACGGAGATGTTCTGCCTCTTATACTTCCCTATAATCTCTTCAAAGGGTTTTCCACAGTGATGGATTGCAACTCTTTTCACTTTTTCCCTTTTCTAGAACTAGGGCCAAACCAAGGGAATGGGAACTGTCTCTGTCTATGGTAAGCAAGGCTTAAGAAAACTCTGTTTCCACTGGGTGAAGACCCCACAGGGTGAAGACCTCCTGAACTCAAGTGTAAGTCTCAACAACTATAAGTAAGATTTCCTTCTATGCAGAGGACATCCACCTCCACATGCTCGTAAACACATACTCCCACAACACCCCCACGCCTCCCTTCTTCACCATTTAAGTCTTCCCTGCAGAGAAGAACCCTGCCCTCTGGGAATATTTTCAAGAAAGCCTGATTTGGATAATGATGGAGTCATAAGCAAAACTCAAAGTCTGCTGGGTATTCTTCCTGTCATTTTCTGTGATTAATGAAGATCTTATTTTACTTTAGAGCCTTAATTTTGAATGTTCAGCCTTTTAAAAGATTAGGGCATCCTTAAAACTTTGTAACACTTATCTCCATTAAAGGATTGTTTTTCTTTTTAACTAGGGATTTGGGGGATATATAAGAAAGCAGTAGAACCCTTGCTGATGCTTGTAAATCTCTTCTTGCCTGATAACATATATTATAAACTAATAAATCTGACTGAAAAATGTTGTTTCTATGCATAGTTCCTATCCTCCTCAATCCAGATTGGATATTCATGAAGTTCTTCTGTCAGCCAAAACTTCCATGCAGATTACTTTCCTTTCATAGCCTTAATTTGAAGACTGCATTACAATAGACCTGGACATAAAGGCACAGGGCCAGCTATGCCTTAGTTGCTCAGATAAAAGCTCTCACATGCAACCTTTCATGTAGCAGCTGGCCCTCACATCTCATGAGAGCTGAATGCTGTGGCTGCACTGGATTTTACTCCCTCTCCTGCTTTCAACAGCCCAGTTGTATCCCAGCAGAACGAGGAATGCAAAACTAGCATGCTGGTTGTACACCACACCTGATGAAAAGGAAGCGCCAAAAAGAGCTGAAATAGAAACCCATGTGTGCCTGTCTCCAAGCTGCTGTTTACCATTTCCTCCAAAGCACAGGCAAGCATCTCTGCCACCAATGCAGCCTCGCAGGTCTGCCTGCAAACAGTTCTTGTGTTTATCACTGAACTTCATATCTCAAATGGGAGAGTCTGTAGGTGTCCATGTACTTTCTGTGATTCCTCTTGCTTCATATCAAATCTGATTGGACCAACGGCCCTTCACAGGTTAGTCCCATGTAGTCTGATATAACACTATTACTTAGAAAGACTGAAACTTGCATGATAGAATGAAATAATTCTTCACAGAAATTAACAATTATTCCACAACAGATCGAGTATTTGGGAAGGAAGATACTCATTCAAAGAGGAATCTGTTTGCAATGGGGCATGGCTGATATTTCTGTTTCCACAGAAAGTGGAACTAGTCAGAAAGACTCCAGAGGGGTTTCATTTTCACAGAGGGCACTAGTTTGGTTGTGACTGACATAAAAAATAGTCACTGCTTTGATTCCTATCTCCTTTTCCCAGAGCAGCTGTGCTCAGTGTGGGTGTTTTCTGCACACACACCCATTCCCAGGCAAGCGCTGTTTACTTTTTCCAAGAGTGGATGGCTACAAGTTGCATCAGAGTCCAAACCCTGGACACAAAGGAGGTCAGTAAGTGGGAAGCAAAGACAAAGAGACCAAAAAATATCTTTTCCTAAATGCTTACTAACAGGTAATGTTGAAAGCCTGAAACAGTTTTACGACAGAGAGGAACCAGCAGGCAGCAGAAGTAGGTTTACACTGCCACTGAGGGCTGTGACTCAGAGGCCTGTGAAAGGACATTTCAGACTTGCTGTGGCTCATGGGTGAGGGACCACACTGGCAAAACACTCATCTCTGTGGATAATTTCCAGTGCTTCAGGCTAACTAAAAGTGCTCCTGTGGGAAGTTAGGGCATGGGTACATGCAAGCATTTCAAAAGCAAGATCTAGTTATACCCCAGTGCTTTCTAAGAGAACTTCTAGTGTGGTTACCTCGTCTTTTAAGTGGGCAACCTCAAAGCAAAATATTTGTGCTTTAATGCTTCTGAGGTGTTGTTTAATTGCAGCATGGTTTTGAGGGTGGATCAAATTTTAGGTACTGGTTAACATATTATGTATTAGTATATAGTATGCCAGGCCCCACAAAGGCAAAAGGAAGCAATAGCTATATTTATGTACATGCTTGCAAAGCTGCTTTCTTGGAAAAAGAAATGGAAATATTTGAATGCATAAATAAAGCAAAACAACTGCGATATATAACTGAACAAAAATATAATACCCATATAAAAAAGAAACCTAATATTAAATATGAAAAATGAAGATGTTCATCTGTACTTTTTTGTTCTTTAGCACAGAAGAAGGTATTTGGGTAAGCACAGTCAAACCTGATAACTGAAATTATTCACACAGAAATGAATCATAATCATGAGACCTTGAGTTTATACAGCCATCTGCCAAAGCCATTGAAAACAATCAGGTCTTGAAATATGTCCAGAAAGATATTGTAGCCAAAACCTAGTCATTTAATGAAATAAGTGAATACTGGCATCCAACAAACTTCATAGATAATGCCCTGCCTGCAGTTGCTGTGCCAGAGCTTCAGCTAACTGTGTACAAACAAATGCTAAAATAAACACACTTATCATAGAAAACATTTCTTGTAGGCGCTTGATTTTCATTTGCTCTGTTGTGTTAGATGCGATTGACAGATGGTATTCCTTCTTTTAGGAGGATCTCTCTGAATTCTAGCCCAGTCTCTACTGTACTTTGGGAAAAGATAACTTCTCTCAGCTGTGTCTTGCCTCTGAGGCCAGACAGAGAATAGGAGAAAAAAGTGATACAGGGAGCATCAAAGACTAATATTTTCTCATATTTGACACATTCTTATCCTTCTTATATGCTTTTTGAAATGCTTTAGTTCATGCAATTTCTAAACTGATTGATAGTACGGACACACCAAAACCTGCGACAATCATACATTAATTTTCATCAGAAAGTGCACAGAGTCCTTACACAGCCTTCATTCAGCCTGTTGAATTAGTCCTATTTCTGATGCTGAAGCATCAAAAAGGAGCTCTCTTCTAGCTCCAAAGCTTGAGCAGAACAATTCATGGAGAACATTCCCCTGAACTTCCCTGTAATCATATCCCACTATACAGGGTTGATGGTGAGGTTCTGTTCCTTTGGAAAGCAACTCTTTCTGGACCTTTATGCAATGAGTCTCAGTTGATATTCTGCTCTTCCTATGGGTACAAAGTATCTGTTAAATGTCTCTCACAAATATTTTAAATCTAGTGGGTCTGCTCCCTGAGGACACTTACACAGAGAATTTTGGCTGTCAGAAGGCAGCTAGAGTGATTTAAGGTTAGCCTTCCCACAGCCAGCACAAGTTTATGCCTGGAAGTAAGGGGTGCTTAGGACATTCCTTTGTGCTGATGGTCCCAGCAGCAACAAAACCTCCTCAGGGAGAACAAAATAACTTTGAGCTGCTCTCATCTGTGCAGGAGTAGCAGTCATAGGTTAGCCCAGAATTTGAGATGCAAAAAAATTTTTTATGAACTCCTTTGCTGTTGTGCACAGCTCTACTTGTCCTCAGCTGGAGAAGAGGCTACTTCAGACAACAGATTTTCCATTCCTTTAATGGATTTTGCAAGGAACAAATTTAGTCCCTCAACAGCATAATCCAGTCCTCAACCATATGGTCAACAAACATCAATGGTAATGTTCATTGCTCATTAAGGTAACTCATTACAATTTGATTACCTAGCCAAAAGCAATTCTGAGTTAAGGTCATTTAAGACTGTCCTGGTTTGAGCTAAATAGAACAAATTTTCTATTTAGTGATTTTACTTTTCAGCTCGGTCTCTTCTAGTGGCTGAACTTGCTGAAAACGAGTAGCAAGTTTTTCCCAGACAGTGTGAAGTGATAAGCTCAAGGCCAAGTGTCTCACCATGGGTGCCGTGTCTGCGCCTACAGCGGGAGAGGTGGACCCAAAACTGACCAACGAGGTATTCCATCTGACATATGTCATACTCAGTATAAAGCTGAGGGATCACAAGGGTCTCAACCCTTCTTCCATCTTGGAGCCCTTCCATCTCAGACCCTTCTGTCTGTCTCGACCCTGCAGTGGCCAAGGCCTGAGCAGACCCCTGCTAGTTTGTCTGCCTCTGATCCTGACTCGTGTGTTCCTGCATCCTGCTCCCACCTGCTGCTGAGTTTGGTCTGGGACTTT